TTTCGGCAAGCCACCTTCCAATTCATTTGCCAGGCTGCTCGAGAACTACCCAGACCTCATCAACCCGCACAACATCGGCGAGGTACCTAAGCATGACGTCACTCATCATATCGTGACGACGGGCCCGCCTGTCCATTGCCGACCACGTCAAGTCGGACCTGAAAAGCCGCAGGTCGCACGGCAGGAATTCGAGCATATGCTCCAACTCGGAGTCGTACGCCCATCTTCTAGTCCCTGGTCGTCCCCTCTGCACATGGTGCCCAAAAAGAGCGGCGATTGGCGACCGTGCGGGGATTATAGGGCTCTGAACTCAGCTACCATTCCTGACCGGTACCCGATCCCAAACGTTCAAGATTGCACTGCCTTTTTGAGGGATACCACCATTTACTCGAAGATAGACCTCATAAAGGCTTACCATCAAATTCCGGTTGAACCTGCTGACATACACAAGACGGCCATAACAACTCCTTTCGGCCTCTTTGAGTTCGTCACAATGCCATTTGGGCTGCGTAACACAGCCCAAACCTTCCAGCGATTTATTGACCAGGTCATCCGCGGTTTGCCTTTTTGTTTTGCCTACCTCGACGACCTCCTCGTAGCGAGCAAAACCCCGGAGGAACACAAGCGCCATCTCACCACACTTTTCGACAGGCTACACGAGTATGGCATTATAATAAACGTGGACAAATGCCAGTTTGGTGTACCAGAGCTGACCTTTCTTGGCCATCACATTGACTGTCAAGGTATCCGACCACTACCAGACAAGGTCAGAGTCGTCACCGATTGTCCACAACCTACAACAAAACGCACCCTCCGGCGATTTCTGGGGCTTGTAAACTTTTACAGGCGTTTTCTCCCCCACTTTGCCAAGCTTCTACAGCCATTGGAGACACTGCTTTGCACCTCCAAGGGCGAGAAATCAACGTTGCCATGGCCCCCGGAGGCGTCGATAGCATTGGAGAGCGTGAAGAAAGAACTAGCCGATGCCACACTCCTCGTACACCTGTCTTCAGATGCACCAACGTGCCTGATGGTCGATGCCTCGGACGTCGCGGTCGGAGGTGTGTTGCAGCAGAAGATCGCAAATATATGGTCCCCCATGTCATTTTTTTTTCACGTAAACTGCAAGACGCAGAGAGGAAGTATAGTACTTTCGGAAGAGAGTTACTTGCGGCTTACTTAGCCATCAAACATTTCCGACACTTCCTGGAAGGGCGTGCCTTCTTCATACCCGAAGGAAAAATCCATCAATGTAACGCTGTTTGGCAGTCAATGTTTTCTAGTGGACCGCTGACTGTGCCTGACTGTACGTCAAGCATGACTGATTGGCAAACAAGCTACTCTGACCTACAGTCAAACTCCAGTCAGACTCCGCTTGTCGGCTTTCTGATGGTTTCCTGGTGGCAGTCGGCCGCCGCGAAATGCCATCAGGATGTCTTGGTGGCGATTCTGACTGTACATCGATTGTCTCTGACTGTACGTCAAAAAGCTTTGACGTGCAGACAGACGTACGGTCAAAGGACGTAAAGTTCGTTCGGATACCACTATTTCGTCAAATCTATGAATACAAAAAGTAATCTATGCACGAGAAAACGATTTCGGGACGTGAGCCCATAAAACCGCTGACGTTAGAGATATGACAAGCAACGGACCGACAACCTTGATCAGAAGCCCGTCGAAGCGCCGAAGACGACACTTCGCCGACTTCGCTTCGCCCATAGAGATTTCGCCGAGCTTTCATGAACGATCGCTCTCGACTCGTTTTGTTTGCCCGCTTGCTTTAACCTGTCGATCCTGCTCGGGCTCTTCAATGTCTTATGTTTTAGTAGAATTTCTACTCGACAAGATCCAGCCTGTTGTGAGTTCCGACGATGTAAGGGACTTTAGCGGTGTAGTTGAAGGCGACAAGGTGTACCAGGTCTACTGGGCCGGTGACGCGCGAACAAAAGGATCGCTCTACGACGCGAAAGTACTCTACATGGCAGGTGAGTAGAACTGAAGTACGGCGAGTGATGTACGAGTGCTTTGCATAACACGCTGACGGCTTAACTGCATTTGTAGCCGAAACATATCGTATAAATCGAATAGTCAAAGCGAGTTTCGGAAGTGGAGGCGTAGCATAGTGGTTAAGATGCCCGATTTGTATGCGAGTGGTCGCGGATTCGATGCGCTGTGGACCAGATTTTTTTTTTTTTTTTACATTTTGTTTTATTGAGGCATTTGGCGATATTTATGAGTGTGTATAGCTTTACTCTTCTGTAAATGCTGCCCTTGTTGATGAAATTCCCTTGGCAGTGGCAGTCAGACGTCATCTGATGGACCATCAGATGACGTCTGATGGTCCATCACGTTCCACCAAAGCTGCTGACTGGCAGTCAGTGTCCCATATTACGTACCTTGATGGAATTTTCAATAGGGTAGCCACGGATCACAAACCGCTGGTTTATCCAATTCAGTCATCGAACCAAAATCATTCACCACGAGAGCTGCGACATCTTTCCTTCATCGCGGAATTCACTTCCGATATCCGACACGTGAAAGGAAAATAAAACACCGTCGCAGACACATTATCACGTCTGGAGCTGAATGCCCTCAACGCAAAGAAAGATCAGTTCACCTACTCTGAACTAGCTGCGGCTCAAGCACAGGACGAAGAACTTCGATCCATCATGAAGACCGGCACGTCCCTCGTCCTCGAAGAGGTAACCCTCCCTGATCATGGTATCACTTTGATATGTAAAACTTCGACACGAAAACCCCGCCCGTATGTGCCACGCCAACTGCGTCATGCGGTGTGCTCGTCATTTCACTCCCTCTGCCACCCAGGCATACGCGCAACACAAGAGCTGGTAACGAACCGTTTCGTATGGCCCAAAATCAACGCCGACATACGGGAATTCGTACGCTCTTGTCTTGCCTGCCAGAGGTCGAAGGTGCAGCGTCACACCCATACACCACTTGGCAAGTTTCCTCTTCCATCCACACGCTTTGAGAACGTCCATCTAGACAATGTTGGTCCACTTCCAACTTCACGGAATTTTTCATACCTATTGACATGCGTCGACAGATTTTCTCGCTGGCCAGAGGTGGTACCACTAGAAAAAATCACCGCTGAAACAGTAACACGCGCTTTCATATCCAGCTGGATCAGCCGCTTCGGTGTGCCTGCCACAATCACCACCGATCGCGGGCGCCAGTTTGAGTCCGCGATATTTAAAGAATTAACATCTCTTCTGGGCTCAGTACGGACGCGCACGACAGCATATCATCCTGCTGCGAAAGGCCTCGTCGAGCGACTCCACCGTCAGCTGAAGTCTGCGCTCCGATCACAAACCTTTCCCGATGCATGGGTTGACAACCTACCAGAGGTGTTACTAGGCATGCGATCAACTTTGAAGCCCGACTTGGGTTGTACAGTGGCAGAACTCGTGTACGGTTCTCCCCTTCGTCTCCCTGCTGACATGGTTGAACCATCAACGGCACAAAGACTAATGGACCCCGCCTCCTACGTACAACGACTCCGGGAAGCCATGAACTTTTTGCGCCCAGTACAGACACGGCAACCTAGCGCACGACAAGTCTTCGTTCATCCTGCCCTCGCCCAATCATCATAGGTATTCATACGTCGAGATGCGGTAAAGAAACCTCTCAGACCTCTATACGATGGCCCATACCAGGTCGTAGGCAGAACACCGAAGTTTTATACGGTACTTATACAGGGACGTCGAGATACAGTTTCCCTGGACCGACTAAAACCTGCTTTCACCACAGCCCTCGACACAACTACTACCCCTGCGTTGCAGAACAATGCTCCAACGCACTCCCCACTTGGTGCGCAAGTGGCCCAGGCCACTTGTCCAGGGGGGCGGGGGGGGGGGGGGGCATCTGTAGCAGCCGAGCTAGTGGTGCTTCCGCGACGATGAAAAAGAAGCATCTCGGCGCGAACACACAGAACGAGACACCACGAGCTGGGAAATTCGGCGACCGAGCGGCCCGGCGGCTACATCGAGCGATGCCCAGGACAGTTTCATTTCTTTTGTAAATATTGTACATAAAAAGTATGTTGGGAGGTATATTCCTGGTTACAACAATATAAGTCACTATACTGAACATATTTTTGCATCCGGTACACTTGTGTAAACCTGCTCTGCAGCACTATCATATCAAAAACACAACATTGTATCAAGCTGACCAATACAATATTCTTGCAACACAGAAAACATGAGCGTTAACAGCATGGGGGAGAATAAAAGTCTGGACGATTTAAATCTTGATTTTTGTCATGTTTCAATAGTGCTTTGAATCATACATGTTTCACTACAATATTTTGAATAAAAACATTTCCACAAAAATAATCCCAAAATAGTTTTATAATTTACAATGTTTCTATCATGCGATGCAGTTTATATGCATTGTTTGCTTTTTATATCAAGGAATCGCTAAACAAAAAAAAAAAATCTCATAACGCACTAAAATCAAGCATAAAGCAGTCGGCCGAGCGAATCGCAACCACACAATATTAAGCTGTTTTTTTTTCGTTCTACAAAGTCCCAGCTTAATAAAAACAAAGAAAAAAGTCACTTAAACCGTACTTTAAATTTACAGTAATTATTTCTTCTCGAATATTTTCAGTGGTCGGTTATTTATTAGTCAATCTGTCATGTTCAGAAATACATCTAGTCATCAAATACACTATTTTATAGCTTTACTAATGTAAAATAATACTATCTGGTATAACGCAAATGAGTCTTATTTAAATCATAGGCATCCAATAATTTATAGTTAAACAAATAGTTAATGTTTTCCGCTCACTCGATTCCCCTTGGCAAAGCGCAATCTGATGCAAACGGTTTCGAATAAAAAAGTCGACTTTATATGACAAACATTTTGTTTTCTTCTAAAATATTTCAGTTTCCAATTGCGTTGCACTCTTGGCGGCAATAACAAGACTTTCAAATATAAAGATACCAATATGTGGGGGTTGGACAATGAATACGCACCTGAAACCTGTGTATTCCAACAAGCTGGAGGTTTATTCGGGGCTTGCGAACCGTCTTGAAGATTGCATTCACCTTCGTGGAAGAAATAAAGCATTCGAACGGGTGTCAGTAATCGGAGCACAAAAGCCTCAGTAATCACTTTTTGTTTGGTCAATGAAAACTGACATTACTATATTATTTCTGAACAAGAACAAATGTAAACCATACGCACGATGTTCATAAGCCTTATGATGTATTGAGCCTGTATATATTTGCTTTCGTTGAGGGACTTGTGTATTACACTGTCAAACATGACGTACATTTCAGGTCGCCACACGGTGGGTGGCTCTGCAGCGTCATCTAGAAGGTTTCAAATCATGGCATTTTCTCAGTGCTTCGCAAGTTTAGAATTGACTGTGTAATCATTTTTTTTAATTTGCACGATGCAGATAAGTCGATCTTGTTTTCTGTGCAAGATAGTGAAACAGTCTCTAATTGAAAGCTTTCAAATTCATTATATCATTAAAGTGCGGTCTCGAATTGTAGTTACACGTGAAGCAAGAGCTGACGTCTACCGAAATATTTCAAAGCAAAAACCTAAGGAAGAAAAATTAGGGTTTATGCTGTGTACAGAAAATTGCATCAAGGTTATAAAGTGGCCAGTATGTACGCCGCGCATGTAACTGGAATTACAGCCTGCTCTTTGGTGTTTCTACAATTGGTCGAGAGGATTGCTGAGAAATGTTAAATATTTTAAAAACAAAATAAGCTTACTTTTTGGCGGTAGTCTTTCATCAGAACGTTCTTCAACGGGAACTGTAAACATCATAGTGATACTGAATGTAAGGAGTAATCAAAGTCAAAGGTTATAACTTTTCAAATGCATTCTTCTTCAGCAAAATTATACAGGATCAATTCCTGTTTTGCTGTCAATTATTTTTTTTTTGTCCCGTTTTTGCGGCTTTTAGTCGTTAAGGTATCTTCAAGATAATTTTCTCAAATTGTTACAATATCCGATGTCAGCGCACATGTGTTCATTCAAATGCCATCACCTCGAAACTGAACTATGCCGAAATAAAGTACTTAATTATTTTTGTTTGAAAGAAAAGACGACGAAGTGATATTTTTGCAATAAAATGCTTAGATGGGCCAGTTGGTACATCGTGGGAAAATAAGCGCCAAAAAAACACGGACAAAGAGTAGATTGACAATGACACAGGGCGCACTCTCAACTGAATTTATTAGGAAAAAACACAAACTTATATACCAATGGGAGCACACTATCAGACACCACACGTCACGTTAGTCTCCGCCCAGACCACGTTTCAAATATTCAAACTCATTCGTAGACAGAGCCAATGATGTATCGCTAATGCATTTTTTACCCCTTCTCCTAATCTCAAATGCCTCGTGAAGCTCGCGTGACACTTTGTTTCTGTACCTCGCCAATATTTTAGTGCTGTCAAATGATGGGTCGCAAGTGCATCTTTTGCAATGTACAGCCAAATGCCCTGACGGTGTAGTTCTAGTTGAAGCGGCGTGCTCGCGGACCCGATCATTCATACACCTTCCAGTCTGCCCTACATAGCTTGAACCACACGTCATTGGTATTTCATAAACGACGGCGGTTGCGCAATCAGTGTACTTATTCCTGTGCTTAGTATGGCACGGGTCAGTTATCGGTTGTGGATCGATCCACAACCGATAACTGACCCGTGCCATACTAAGCACAGGAATAAGTACACTGATTGCGCAACCGCCGTCGTTTATGAAATACCAATGACGTGTGGTTCAAGCTATGTAGGGCAGACTGGAAGGTGTATGAATGATCGGGTCCGCGAGCACGCCGCTTCAACTAGAACTACACCGTCAGGGCATTTGGCTGTACATTGCAAAAGATGCACTTGCGACCCATCATTTGACAGCACTAAAATATTGGCGAGGTACAGAAACAAAGTGTCACGCGAGCTTCACGAGGCATTTGGGATTAGGAGAAGGGGTAAAAAATGCATTAGCGATACATCATTGGCTCTGTCTACGAATGAGTTTGAATATTTGAAACGTGGTCTGGGCGGAGACTAACGTGACGTGTGGTGTCTGATAGTGTGCTCCCATTGGTATATAAGTTTGTGTTTTTTTCTAATAAATTCAGTTGAGAGTGCGCCCTGTGTCGTTATCAATCTACTCTTTGTCCGTGTTTTTTTGGCGCTTATTTTCCCATGATATTTTTGCATGTGTTACCTAAAACGCAAGCATAATTAAGTAAAAATATAAGGGACGTTATAATCGCCAGTATACTCCCTGTCAAAAATATCGTTTGTAGAAACATGTATTCTTGGAACTCTTAAGTGCTACATATTAAATTATTTAGGAAAAATAGAAGGGAAACTTTGAACGCACTTAAGGAAGGTTGTCTTGAGTATAAGGATATGAGAACTTTTTCCGATTGCCAAACCACTGACCTCTTCCGTTAGCTCAGAAAGTAAGTGCTAATTATTGGTACGATTTGAGATCATACATACTCTGGTACTCTGAATACTTTGAACATCGGATTACATACTCAGATCACTAATACAGGAGCCGTTGAACTGATGCAAGTAAAAAAGTAATGAAATACTGAGGGGCCGTCGCCTTTGCAAGCACTTCTCCTTTTCATTTTTCAATGATAATCAATTATTGCGGTCATTTCGCCACGCTTTAAACAGAATGTGTTGAGAGAAAAAAAACGGGAGGTGAATTAATTCATCGAGAGAATAAATGGCAAATAACTGAGAGCATACCAGTATTGACACTGCACGTGAAGCGAACGTTGAAGGAAGAAATTCGGTTGTACGTTCAAAATTTCAAATCATTTTTGCTTCAGGAAGTCTAGCCTATAAGATCGAATCTTCAACAAATATCTAGTGTACAGTGTTTGATTCTGTCACTTACTTTCCAAGTGGATCGCCTCCTCAAACGTCGGCAGCGGAAATATTCTGTGAGGGACACGGCCGGATTCGTTATGTATTCGCAAAGGCTCAATTCCATGTGTAAAGTTTAGGTATCCTTCCTGTTAAAAAGTGAAAGATTTCTGAATATTGCAAGCATTGCCCGGTGCAGACCGTTTATGAATCGCTAAACAAACATTTCATTTTAATAAAAATTCAATTGATTAGGAAGCAATTTATGGAGAAAGTATTCTAGATATATAATTTAAAGTTCTCGTAAGTAATGTTTTTAGACGCTAAGGTGGTGTGTACTTTCAGTACGCTTAATGCTCCTTTATTTTTATGAAACTTAAAAAAGCACTCCAGGTTTATAAAATGTTCGCGAAAATCTATGTAGTTTACAAATATAGGATGTATAAATAACGACTGCATAACCTCCTGTACATTGGTATAATCGTATTTATTGTTCCAATAAGAATATATACTTAAAGAAATGTGTACATACCATTTCAATTCCCACGTCTGTTTCAGTAATTGTAAAGGACGCCTTGTGTTCCGAATTTTCATAAACACTATTACGTATGTCTGTAGTATCCATCTGGAAAGAACATATTATCAGACAAATAACTGCGAAGTAATATTCATATTAGTTGCAGCTGAAATGCTAAACAGTTATATTTATAGCCAAGCTATTTATTGCTTGGTTTTGTGGATTTTTTGTGTATGTCAACAAAAAGTCAGTTGCCGAGTTTGGTGCAAAATCGCTTAATTTTATGAAAAAGTTTATGTCTCATCACTTGGATATGCATCTTCAGTAGATTAGTTATCAATAGACTCCATTTTCAAGATCAGTAGATTCCCAGGTAGACAATAAACGTTTCTCAACGATTTGGCTTTGTTTGAACCGCGTCAGCTATGTCTACTCTCGCACCGCCGTCTCCTTGTAGTCGCCCAGAGCGCTTGCGAGCCTAGTTTCCGTTCCTTCCGCCCTCCCGAATTGGCGGTCGCTTCGCGCGCGTCTACATTCCGCCAGGTGGCCGCCGCATTGCGGGTGTCTTTTTTCCTCCGGCTCGTCACGATGACCACCAATCAAGACAATAAATCTGGTCGTACCTTTGTTCAAAGTTCTTTGACACGTCTGTGTCGTGTGCTAAACAGCTTCGTTGGTCATCCGCCTTCTCAGAGAGGAATTGCTCATGCTTTTTTTCTTCGCAAACTATGGCAATTTATAAAAACTCAGTAAATGATTACATTCAATGAATTTCAACAAGACGCAGAACGAATATCGGTGTGAATGGTTGTGTAAATTATCGAGGAAGTAAAACTTTCTCAAAGAATGCAAAAAAGAAATCGTGGGAGTCGGTACGTCATTTAAACAAATGTGTGTTATTAACGTTATTATAAGCGGTAACAATTCTGCTTGAAGGGCATTTTAAAATGTACGATAACCTCCAAAGGCGCTAGCGGGTACATAAAAAAACTTCTGAGCGAAAAAACAGGCCGAATGTTTATTTTCTAAGTAAATTCATTGAATTTCAAACAGTGAGGCGGAAGCATGCTTTCTTGTGAAAGGTAATCTTTCCTTACCAGTTCGTGATTCACCTCTCCATACTTAGCATCGGAAAAATACAGACTGTCCCCTAAAACACTGGATTCTTCCAAGTCTATGACGTAGTCTTTAGAAAGTTGAACAGCGCCTCTTGAGTTGCCGCTTCTGCTTTCAATCAAAACCGGATACACGACACCTGGAACGTAACCGCTCCTGTTATCCGACCGTTCCATTCTCGCAACAAACTTCTGGGTAAAGAGGAAGAAACAAAACGGTGGTCACAAGTCACGGTGTTTTCCTTATAAAAAAATCTTATCTAGATCTCCCAGCAAAGTTCCCTTTCACAAACAGAGGAAAATTAACTCAACAAAAATAAGAAAGCCCTTCTGCAATGACAAGACGTTGGAAACGTAATACAATAAAAGTACAAGGGGGGAAGCAAGCCTACACTCATGTGAATAGTTCGAACGGAACAGATTTAGAAAACCGGGGGAAGGGAGGGGGGGTGGGGCATCTTCCAATCGTGTTTCGTTAACACTATTTATCCTTTCATATGCATTTCTTAATATGCAGCTCATGAGAAGATATGCCACTTCGCTAGACCTCAAAATGCTATTAGAGTGCCATACCAAATAAAAGAAAGGGACTGAAGAATCTAGATTACCTTGTTGCCAAGCTTTTGTTAATGATGGTTATAACCTTAATCTTTTGTACCACGCCTACGTTCCTGTTCTTGCGAAAACCTTTTGGTAATCTGTCAAACTTTTCGCTCTTCAGCGCTCTAATTGTACGGCACCATGATGAATGGAACATCGTTTTGGGACGGTCACATCCATTTGGTAACTCCGATTGTAAACGTAATCTGAACGAACAGACTCTAAGAAAAGCGCAAAGAGTAATTTTCTCAAAGACCCAACAACGCGAAAGGATTTCTGGCAGATTGGAACTCGGCAAAACAAAAACATTACGTGATTGTGCATTCCGTGCACGTGCAATGCAATCGTCGTTCCGCATTAAACAGCCACATTTGCATCCTCTCTTAATTTGTAGGTGTAAGAGGAGGAACCAAGTGCATGGTCTTTATTCAGACCTGACGTACGTCAGACGTTGAATACGCGAACAACTGCTTCCGGTATGATGACCTCGGTGTCGCGTTCTACCTATTCGTGACGCCCTTTCGCTGGCTGAATTGTGGAGTACTATGTCTTTAGAACTCGTCTGTGACTGGTGTGTTAAAGATCCTATCGCATCCATACCTTAAAAGTAATCCCGAATTTTGCAGAAACGACCTCACAGGAGTCAAAGTGTCATGCTCTCGGATGTCGCAACCCTTGCGCTTGGTGCCAGAATTCCCGGGCAAAATTAAAATAGAAAGCTCGTACATTTGGCTCGTACAACCACCGCTGCGACACCGCCAGGATCCTGGCCGACGGTATGGAACTTATATGACGTCAGAGTGGTTGAGAGTACAAGAATTTTGTTCGCAACTTCTATGTCACAGATATAAAAAAAAAACATATAATCACCAGGTTTGCGTTAACCTAGTCGCAATTTTATTTTGCTTGTGTTTTTAAAGAGATTTAGATGTAGTACCAGGTGTATCAGGAAGCGGCCAAACGCTTTAAATCGACCGCAAAATTCGTTTTTTTTTTAACTATCGCGCTACGATGTTCTGCAGCTTTGCACACAGGTGGTGCGTTTGTTCTATGAACTTTGCAAAGAGCGAGCTTACGTGTGAAAAATGTAAAAAAAAAGGCTTAAATAATATGGAAACGCAGCGAAGTCAGCTGTCTTCAAACAATTGGGCACCCTATTGATTGGAGAGCGGTGGCTTGGCTCGGTTTCAACAGTAATTACAACTATTGCTTTCTTTACTTTTTCCTCAGGTAAGTTCGCTCGTTGCGAATTTTATAGAAAAATACCCGCCCCCTGTGGGCAACGCTGCACAAAATCGTAGAGTGATGGCTTAAGAAACCGAATTTTGCGGTAGATTTAAATAGCCTGGCCGCTATATAAATACCCGATAGAATACCAACGTATTAAAGTGTCTCAATCAATCCGTCATGTTATCGGGAGATATAGCGGCATATATTTATATAAGGCCGCTTCTACAATAATTGACAACCAAAGTGAAGGACGTGTTGACTAACGAGCATCTCATTATTTCTTCTCATCCAGTAGGATTTCGGTATTAGAGAATAAGAACACGAAAGAAGCAATAACGAAGCAAGAATCAAGATTTTAGTATTAAGCCACACCCTGCGCGTCTTATTTGTCAGCGACTATGAAGGAATCTATGTATACAATCAATGGGGTATGTCTACCCAAGCCAATTTAAATCCTACGCCTTTCGAGGGCATAGTGCATGCCGTAATACAAATTATTTCTCGTCTGCAATATTGTGTGCGGAATTTCTATGATAACTCTTTATCGTGCCCAAAAGCTCGGAAGTTGAAGCCTAGGAGAAATGTAAAATTCGATTTTACGTCACTAAGAAAAACGCCATGCGGAAGTTTCTGCATAAATAGAATCAATACATCACCGGCGTGAGCAGTAGCTACGCTGAAAATGATGAGTGTAGCCGAATACATTTTCCGTCGTAAAAACGTGCGTAAAGGAGAGAAAAACACATGAAAATGAAAAAATGCCTTTGTCAGGAACCTTTTTAAAGGGTGAAAAGGTTCAGCGCCCTTTAAAACATTACACAAAATGCGAGACAATGAAAACAATACATCAAATGACGCAAACAGGAAGTTGCATTTATTATGTTGTTAAAGACAGCTTTTGCACGAGACGAGCATTGACACCGGCAATGGGCCCTTTTCAAAAGTCAGAAGCATCTCGTGGCAGTCTCGATAGCAGTAATTTCTCCGCACTAATGACGGTGACTGAAGATCAAGATTGTCTACCTTGAAACACTATCGATTTTGTGAATCAAAGGTGACTTTCAAGGGCCAACTTGTTAGAATGGATTCTCCGCTTCTCTGTGGCATGTTTTTAAAGGCGTTCGCTTCTCCAAGGGTGCAGAACCTGCATAGCGCCGCAATTAGAGCGTCGAGTTTGGCTGTGCACGTGGTAGGTGAGACTAAATATTGAAAATTTTCTATTGAAGCGGGCGTCAAAAAGGTGGCACCAGCGGTTTGGTTATCGCGGTGGAAACTAAATATGGGTTACACTCACGCCACAGCAGCGGCCATTCTGGTGGCCATTGCTTGCTGAGCAGGTGGCTTCTGCATCAATGCATGAAAATAAGTATGGAATAAGACGTCTCACATGCCGGCCACACATAAACGCCGCGGCTAACGAGTCATGTTAATGTCATGAAACCGGACCGTCGAAGACGCGTAAGAATACACCAGCGGTTTTTGATAAATGACTTCCTCAAATCTCACGTCGCTTCGATAGAAAAAAGTGCGATTCCATACACTGAATAACAGTCATAGCACGTAAAACTGAGATTAAACAATCGTGTACTTTCTGAGCGGCATCTCATTTGCTGCTAGGGAAGTTCAGAACACCTCTCGAGGGCTACGTTTACTCAAGTGATTTCTATTGACATATTCATGACCGAGTTGGCACCGCGCTCGTCACCCACGTGAAGGCACGGGGCTAGGGCCTTACCAGCCAAATTTCTCATTTTACCTTTCTCCCCACTTCTAGAACGTTATCATTTTGTAACGTATCCCTCGTTCATGTTCGAAATGTTCCAGACTAACGAGTATGTACAAAAGAAGCTGAATCCGGCAACATTGGCACATTGGTCCCTTGTCACCATCACGGGATGCACGCTGTTCTTTTGGCTTTAGTTAGGGGTGCGAGTACACCTTATTGTACATTTATTTTCAGTTTTTAAATCAACCTACTTTTTTATCCGAGATAATACAGTAATGACTAAGGTTGACACCCAAAACTGTAGGGAGACCGTGAGGTATCCAGGGCTGCCTGTTAGATGACGCCACTGTGTTCACTCTTCGTAAGCGGTCGCAGGCGTCTCAAACCGACCATTCCCCTGGTCGTTTTAGATCCCTAGTCTAAATCCACTACGGAGCATCCGATTCCTGGGGAGCCACCGCGCCTCCGACTTCACCAGCGGAAGACGACAGGCTTCCGAAAGTGACCAACTATCGTCCCGGTATTCCGCATCGCGCTGGGCTATCGTCATTTCCGGAAACCGCCATCACAAGTCGGTCGACCGCCGTTCCCGTCACGCTCGGCGAGGCAGGAAGTTACATCTCCCAAAGATCGGCTTCCACTCGGCTCCGGGAAGATGAGCCGATCGAGATATGGGCGTTCCGAACCCTAAATCAGAGCCGGCGCTGCTCCAAAAGGACGTGCGAAAGACATCCGGGTTGATCTCAAAAGACCAGTGGCGAACGCGCCCTCCAAACAAGTGCATCCCGGAACGCGCCATAACGACGAGTGGAATTCGTCATTAATCAAACGCGAATCTCTTAATAAAAACCTTTAAGAATTATGAAGACCACTTTGAAGTTCACTTTAACGATTGATATGAACGCCAAGCTCTTGCGCGTCGCACAAATTAATTGAATAGACCCAGCAACAATCACACCGGAACAGATGAGAGTCGCTCTCATCGGTCCCGGTGCGATAGTTGCTGGTTCTATTCAATTAATGTGTGCGACGTGCAAGCGCTTGGCGTTCGTATCAATCGTTAAAGTTAACTTCAAAGTGGTCTTCATGGTCTCTTCAATGTTTTTTCTCGGTCGTCGCGCCCGAGACTGCGGAAAAATCCAGCTTTTGAATGGCGTGGACCGTGATATCAATTGAGGCACGTCGGCCGATTGGTCGAAATGAACGGAGTCCTCTTGTACTCGTTTTTGATAGTAAGTCGTCAAAAAAGATTTCGTATTTTTTCTCATTTAGTAACACCGAAACTTCTATGTTCTTGACAGAACAAATTACTACAATAAATTAAAATATTATTTCAGTCCGCGGGCGCGCGGAGTGAAAAGACTGAATAGCTGAGAGCCTTTGAAGGGAAGCTGAAACAATTCTTGAAAAAAATAGAAACGAGTTAGAGAAGAATTCTAGAGTATTTTTATCCCCTGACTTTGAATACCACGTTCATTTTCCACGACGATTTATACAAAACATGAGAAAACCCGAAAAACCTCCGACCAGTAGTGACGTCACACTAGGATCTTCGGGCCGCCATGCGCGTGTCGCTCGTTTGGGCAGCGCGTGCAATCGGAAGCTTGCAAGGTATATTTTTCCGCACTGACGTCAGTCGTGACGTCTATCTCTGACCTTTTCGAACGCAGCAAGAGTGCACGCGCGCAGCTTTGACAGGTGCTGAAGATGCGCTAAGCAGAGATTCCGAAAACTCCCAGTATCGCGCCACGCCCCGTGCACTTTGATATTAACTTTAAAAAATAGTTTTTGCAGCCTCCGTGCGCCAAATTGAAAAATATTTTTTTATACTCGGGATCTTGGAGGCCAAATGAAGACGATTTTGGTGTTTTTCCTTAAGGAAAGCCACTAACCAAAAAACAAAACAAAAAAAAAAAAGATTTGCAAGAAAAGTTGATTCTGAAAAATTAGATATTTGCATCCACTAACATCTAGAGGTTTACCGCAGAAAGTTTAATTGGTTTACATTGCATAGTTAACTTTTTATACAGTATTTTCTGTCCAGTGAAGCTAAAGAAAGGCAGGGTTTGCAGCGATTTGAACACACTTTTCTCTGTTCCGCTTTTTGCTAGAAATTCTATTTATTCAATCTATCGTTTGATAATGGCGATAAAGGGACGGCTTGTTCTTCACCTTTCCTGACTAAAATTTAATAAGGAATGCGGCTATGGAATTGTTTTGTTACTTTACGGATGTCTTTTATAAACAAATGTTAACATTTTGTCAAAGCCAGAGAAGACCAAAAAGTTGACTAACTTTGCAGAAGAAAACATTTAAAGAAATAAATTACATTTTTACAAAAATCTTTCCATAGCCGCACCCCCTGGGCATTCTGCCACATATGTAGCAGACAAAAAATTTGAATATTGTGATAGTTTTTCAACGGTAAATTAACTAAGCAATGTAGGCGTGTTACTGATAGAAGCTGTTCTAATTTCCTTCCGTTTAGCCGACAGACCCGAAATTTCGTTATGCATCCTCTAGCACGACGTTCAGCCCGCCCTGTAAATTTCATTAATTTTACTCCAAGAGTTCAAAAGTTGACCCCCTTGGGGGTGTGTCCCCTTAAATACAAAACCACTTCCGTCTCCCTCTAACTTGAAAAGCATTTAGTGTAATACATGTAAAATAAGTTTTTTTTCTTTTTTTTTAGAAAAACTAAATTGGCGAGTCATTGTGTTTTGTTCGGTTTGTGGCGCGGCTCTGAGTTCCACGCGCGAATGGAGCAGCAGAAACTGTTCCAGGCTGACACACTGCAGTTTCCAATACCCGTCAGGGTTCAGTTTAATAAGCTTCTGTCATACCTCGTTTAGCATGCCGCGATCTTTCCGGCACATCCATCCAGCTTTTCATCCAAACAGACCTTTTTGCGCCTGTGGTGTACTGATAGATCGGTACATGTCCCTGCGGGAGCCCAAGACTCCGACACTTTCACGCCGAGCCTCCTCGAGCAGGACCATACTTTCGTCATGTCTAGGGTTAGTAAAGGTGATTGAAGTTTACGTTGAGCCTGTGACGGCATTTTATCTCACATGGTATACGCAACAGCGACACGCAACTTTTATAGTTCTCAGTAACATGATGGCGCCACTCGCAACGTGAATGGCAATAAATAATGTCGACAAAAATTAAGGTCCATACCAGGGTTGGGGAGAAATACTCAAAAATGTATTCGGGAATACAAATACTAGAAGACATGAGAAAAGGAGCAAAAATACTGATATTCCAATATATCTAGAAAAATCTATCGCGACACGTATCGGAGATACATTTTAAGAATAAGCATAAAGTCTTTGGAAATACTAATACAGGAATACATTTCGCTGAGGGCAGAAATACAAATATTTAAATACTGATACTACAATATATTTTAAAAATATGTTTGAGACGCCAACTGAGATTGAGCTTGATGTGGAAGTTTTTGATGACGAAATTACTTTCTCTCAGGCTTGGCACTTGACCTTAAAGTGCCAAGCGACGTCGCCTCGCTGTACGGTTCCAACCGGCAAGGAGTCTTCAATGGGCTCAAAAACTTTCAGTCAAGGATTGACCGAGGTCCCTTCCCTGGAATTCTGTGTGTCTCATGAGCGATGCGAAAAGACTTCCTCCTCGAATAAATTTCATGTCACCCTAAGTCCCATAAAAACGTCATCATGCTCCTGTTCAATAAGGGCGCCCCTGTCAACAGTGATCGCATCACGTCACGGTGGAATGATCTGGTATTCGTGTATCTGTAGTTGTGGGCTTGAACGTAAAACTTTACCGAGGCTGCTGTATGAAAGGACAATACGTAATTTTGTTGTAGGTGACTTCGTTGAAAATCGTGACGTAACTTTGGAATTTTGGAGATCAGTGAACCACCTGAATCATCCTGGAACACATGTCTTCTGTTACGGTTGAAAAAAAAAACGATACGGTGGCATCGTTGTTGTGACGGTCC